AATGTTCCTTATATAATAGCATGTCGACATTCTTTATTCATATTTAACATGAAGAATGTTAAGAGTAAGGCAAGAGGAGGCATACTCAAAAACGAAAGAAATCAAAGCTAGTGTCTCACAAGGCAGGACCGCGTCTTTACTAATTATACACCAGCGATGTCCCTCAACAAGAATGTGTTAAAATGGTAACATTTTCCGATGGCACTACAATATTGGCAGTTGGCGGAACTAATACAGAGGACCTCAGAAAAACTCCAGGAATCCTACAACAAAATTAATCGATGGACACAAAGTGGAAAATGAATCAAACTAAATCAGTGCATGTTGATTTTACTATTTGACCAAATGAACAAAAACAAACAGGAAGACAATGTTAGTATGCATCACGATTCGGCCAAATACCTAGGAATGACTTAAATGGAAAGAACACTGCTGATTTATAAACAAGTACTTAAACCAATCTCGGTTTATGGCATAGAGCTATGGGGATATGCCAGCAAGAGTAATATCAATATGATATAAGTTTTCTATCGAAACCATTATATTTATAGAGACCTGAATATGCCAACAGTCCAAGAAGAAATAAAGGGGTTTACTTTAAACATAAGGGTCGACTCCATCTACACGTCAACAAAGAAGCGCTGCAATTATTGGACAACTCTACACTCAACAGATGGCTCAACAGAAAAAAGCCATTTGAGCTAAACGTTAATGATGCTACTGTAAAACAGTGCCACCATTCATCACGCCAACCTATGAAGGTTTTCTAAAGAAACAATTAAGACAGCCCAATGGGGACTTCTAAGATAAGTAATTAGGTTATAAGATTTTTAGATTAAAATTTAGGTTAGTCAATAACGAGTAGTAACAATACTCAAAGAAGTAAAAAAAATAAGCGTATTAAACTGTAGATATTATTCTAGTGTTTAGTTAGGATACAATCCTGCATACAACAAAGAGCACAGCAACAAAGAATCTTCGCTGTCTTGATGCCATTTACATAAAGGCTATCCACTTAATAAACGATTTCAATCTCACCCAAGATTTCGCACAGTTGTGGATCCTTCTTTTATAAATACTTCAACAATCTACATCTGGTACGAGAAAATATATAGTACCATTATAAGCTACTCAGTAATATGCCGGTTGTATTGTCCCCTACTCATCAGTCATACGGTGACTAACAGCGTACCATCTAGCAGACAAGTGTAAATTAAAAATTTAAAAAAACCGACTTCAAAAACGTGCAGATGCCATCACCACATCTTAACTAAATTTATATGGGATCACCCCTGAGGTACCCCCTTACTAACAAAAAAAGAATCATATAAATCGGACAAGGTGGTAAAGCATTATCGCTAAACATACATAAAAAATGAAGAGGATTTTCTCATGGACCCAATTTTTAGATTTTGACCAAATTTTATTTGGGACCACTCCCGAAGTACCCCCTTTCTAACAAAAAAAGAGTCATTGAAATCGAACACCGTGTTAAAGAATAATCGCTGAACATACATTAAAAAAAATATCGCGACGAATTGATAACCTCCTCCTTTTTTGAAGTCGGTTAAAAATTAGATAATAAGGTGCAAATAATGGCATTTCTAATAGTAAAAATGGCTTTTTAGAAATACCCCCGCTATAGCAATGGAACTACCGCTAGGCCTTCCTCCGTTACACCTTGTGGTGGAAAAAGATACTAAGACGGAGGCATAAAGACAGAGTTTTCAAATTAATTACGAAAAGCACACCCTACAATGATATTATGATTTTATGAATCCTTTCGAAATTAAAATACCTGGAATCAGTCTGAAAACGGAGAGTTTAAAGATGTAAAACAGTATAGGAGCTTGAATTTACCATGCGAAATCAGGGAAGTCCATACGGGTAAACCTGGAGTCACTCTTCTTGGCTAAAGTAATAGTATTAAATGTATATACTCAGATCATCCTAAATTACTAAGATATATTTATTATAACAGACATCCAGGCAACACTACAATCCAAACTAATATTGAACTACCAACAGTCTTTCTAGGCCCTGGCAGAACGTACAAGAGTCTCGAATGTTTGTCGGGGCGCGAGAGAGTGTTTGGAACCGAGAAAGCATACCTCCCAACCATGAAGGAAGCAGCAAAAACTTTAAATGGACACAAACCCACATTCCTACATTATAATGAAGAATACAATAAGCTCCGGTTGGAACTTCATGGTAGTGCATAATATTTTTAGAAGAGCCATCCAAAAGCAGACAAAATTAACTTCTAAACCTTAGCAGGAAAAAACTTAAGACAGTATAAGGACTTTACGAGTCACTGCGGCCTTAGAAAACACCTAAATATCTCATGGTTATCTGATGGTTCTTTATGTAAAAAATGTGAAGTGGGAGACGAAACTTCACTTTACGCCCTATGTAACTTCCGGAACCTTAAATGGAAATGGAAATTGCATTTTAGGCATAATATTCGAAACTCTAAGAAAGCAAACTACAATAAGCCTATAAGTCAGTACGAATAAGCTTAAACCCACACTCTAACTTTGACAAATTGATACATATTAAAATTAGTTTTGTTATATAATAAAAAAAAACTCTCATGACAAATCTATTTATTTCATAATATAACAAATAATTTTCGGACAAGCATATCTCAAAAAGTAATTTTTTTTTAAAGTTAAAATTTTGACAAAATAAATAAGGTAATAAATATCTAGAATATACTTATATTTTAAAGTTTTAATTATTTTCAGTTTCCAAGAAAAAAAATCAAAGGGCTTTAAATTTTAAAATATCCTAATGAAAATAAATGCATGCCTCAACAGCAGTATTCTTAATATAATCCCCAAATTTAAGCTCTTAATCGCTTGTTAATGATTTTTTAAAATTCGCCGAAATTAGTGGCTAAAACGCCTCGTTATGTGCTGCTTACTGGTGTAACGCGACTGTAACTCTGAGTCATCATTCGATTCTTGCAATGATTTACACCAGTTTAAACCAAAAAATAGCACTTAACGAGGCGTTTTAGCCACTAATTTCGGCGAATTTTATAAAATCATTAACAAGAGATTAAGAGTTTAAATTTGGGGATTATATTAAGAATACTGCTGTTGAGGAATGCATTTATTTTTATTATGATATTTCAAAATTTAAAGCCCTTTGATTTTTTTTTCTTGGAAACTGGAAGGAACTAAAACTTTAAAATATATGCATATTTTAGATATTATTGCCTCATTGATTTTGCCTAAATTTTAATTTTTTAAAAAAATTACTTTTTGAGATATGCTTGTTGGAAAATTATAAGGGGTGCTGTAATCACTTTAAACTCACTTAATAAACTTGACTATCACTTCTTAATCTCAGGGTCCGTAGGTTCAAACAAATACAATAATTTGAATTTCAATAAAAAAGTGGAAAAGTCTTACCTCAACTTTCAATGACTTACTTGATGTTGAAAGTCCACTCAACGTTTGGTGGGTTTACAAGAAAATTTATTTTAAAACTAAAAAAATAAAAAAAATATTAATTTAATAGTTATACTAAAAATTTTCTTTCTTCTTCTGGACCCGCCGCTGCAACCTATTTACACCTCACTGTTTACTTTCCTTTTCCCCCTGCACCCTCTATATCAGCTTCCAATCTGGTATTCTACTTTACACTTGTTCCTTTAATGTTTTTAGTAAATTGTTCCTTAGTTTCCTTTTAAAATAATTTTCTTTTTATTCCAAATGAAAATAATCAAATACATCGGGTATGAATTATATCTTTATTTCCATTCAACATTAAATCTTCTCAAAATGACAATTCTCCATTATATCTTTATATCCAATCAATAATCTTTCTAGTTATACAAATTCTAAACTTACATTTTTCTTTTAAAATTTTCCATTCTTAGGACAATTCTCTCTCAAACGACATCCTGATTTTTTCAAATAATTTTTTATTTTTCAGGACTGACCTTACCCATTAAACGTTGATTAGCCAATTTATAAATTTGAAAACAAAAAATATATAATACTTCTAATTTTAACTCAATTTATAACTCTAATAAATTAACTCTGTTCTAAAACAAAGTTTGACTACAACTATATAATGGAATGGAATGGCTAACTTCACTCACTTATAAGAAACTTATTACTTATAACAAATGTATCCTAAAATGTATCCCATTCCCTTATATTTGTATTCAAATTATATCACATTATATCACAATAGTTTTTTCAAAATTTCCTCTGTTCCTGTCCTTATTCTTTATACTAATAATCCGCTCTATTTACAAATAATTACTTTCAATCCATTTTCATACATTCTTCACACTATTTCTCATTTTAATCCTATTTAATTCATTATTTCATAATAATATTTACTTTTATATTTATTTTACATTTTTTCTTTTATTTATATTCTATTCTTCTTTAATATTTTATTTCTTCTTCATTTGAATACATTATTTCTCTTCTATTTTAAATATCAGCAATCAATCTCCTATTTTTATTTTTAAATTTTATTTGCTAAATATTCTTTATTTTGCTTATCTAGTGAGCTGTTAAACTATCCTAAATACAATATAATATTTCCTATTTCCAATTCATTTTCCATATTCTATCCTTATTTTTAAATTGTTCTGTTCACATATTTAAGACTTTTTATTCTCTTTTACTTTTGTCCTTACTCTTTCTGTCTCCGATAATCCCCTGTTTTTCATTATCTTTATCAATTCCTGCCTATATTTCATTTAAATTTTCCTCTTCCATACATTTTCACTCTTCTGTTTAGCTCTAAATTTATTGTTTATACTTTTAGATTTCTTATTCCACATTATCTTTTGTTTCTTGTATTTATTTATTTTTTTAATTACTTCTTTCTCTAATATTTCTTCTCCATTTAATTTTGTTTTACCTTCTATTATCTTGTTATATTATTTTTCTAATTTACTTTATCTTCCTCGGCTTCTTTTTTAATTCTTCAATTTTTGTTTTTCCTTTATTTTGTTTACTTATACATACTTCTTCAATTTCTATTCCTATCTCTTCTGTTTCTTTACTAAAATAATTTTCTTCAATTTTTTGTTCGACTATTTCTTTTTTCATTTCGTTTTTCAAAAATTTTTGTTTTTCTTGTTAAAATTTCAAATACATGACCCTGCATATTTTTCACTTTTATCATTCTGCCAATCATTTCCACCCTTATATCATTTTTGTTCTCTTATCTTATTTTTTGTTCCTAAGTTTGATTCTTTCATGTCTTTCACTGCTACTTCCAATTTCTTTTCTACCTCTTCTATTTCTCTTTTCATATCTTGTTTCATGCTTTTCTCAATTTCCTCCATTTTCTTTATAATTTCTTCTAACCGTTCTTCTAACCTTTTTTCTCTATAATTTTTTCTATTTTTGTGCAATTTTTTATTCATTTCTATTAACTTTTGAATTATTGTCTTTTTTTGTCCATTTTCTCTAATTCTACTCTTATCCTTGTTGATTCCTCTTTTTCTCCTTCAAAGCTTATGGCTTCGTCGTTTCGATTTTCCATCTCAGGCTTATCGTTCCTTCTTGCTACTTCTGTTTTTCTTAATAGTTCTTCCCCTTCTCCTATTCTTTTCCCCCCTCTCAAATCCATGTCAAAATTTAGTTCACGCTATTTAAATTTATTTATAAAAAATTTAAATTTAATGTATGTAAATTCAATAAAATTCAATATTGCCAATGCCTTTATTTTATTAAAATTGTCTTTTTCAAAAATCCAAACTTAACTACCTATCCTAATAATCCTAATAACATACCAAATAAAAAAAATAAACAAATTTGACAATTAAAAATGTTTTTATACCTGTCAATTTGATAGTGACAGCCTGTCAATTTGACGTTGGGCGCCATTTGATATAAGAAAATTAATTTATAAATTTGAAAACCAAAAATATATTATACTTCTAATTTTGAATCAAAATATAATATCAATAGATACATTATTTAGTGTTTACCTTTGTGTTTAATTTTTAGGAAAATTCACAAAAAACATCATGTTTCAAAAAACTAAAAAAAATATATGCCTTCTCTGTCTCGTTCTGAAAAGGAACGAAGATATTTGTTCTGGAAGAATTAACAATGAATGGACCGATTAATCGCTGCTATTAACGTTGCGATGAATTGATAACGGCTTTATATGAGGCATGAAGATTCAATCGGCACATATTAACTTCACCTTTGAAATTTGATATCTATTATAAAAGGTTATGTACAAAGAAAAAAATGTGCTAAATGATGGTCGCTGCTTATTTTTTATGGTTACCTCGAGGCAGTCAGTTTTCTTTTTTTTTATGACATGACAGTATTCAGAAAGAGATGCGTTTAAATTTATATTAATGTACTTCGTTTTGTTATTTGGTTTTTTGTATATTTTGTTTAAAGATGTGATAAATAATACATTTTTACATAGCTGTGTACATCGCATTAATGTTTCTCATTTGGTGGGCATGCAAGGAAAATTCACTAAGTTAATTTTTTGTAAATTCGTGATAACTGAAGCGATTAAGTTCAGTATTGTTTATCTTTTAATAAAATAATAGTCCATAACTACGGTCAATTTAATAATATTGAACGTGTTGATTGTTATTTTATTTTACATTGCCTAATAAATATTGAAAATTAAAATATACGTTTCTAAAAACTACAAATTTGGACTAAGTGGAATTTTCTTGTACTCCCACGGTTTATCCATTTAAGATCAATGTAATTTTAAGTAATATTTTATTTGTCTATACAGTGTTACAAATAAAGTGTGCATCATATGGCATTTTTTTTCTAAATGCTCTAAAGTTGACTTTGCCATTATTAATTACTTCAAAAATGATAATGAATGACATGTAAATGGTCAATCACGTGACATTTAGCAAATGTCAAAATGTCAAAATTGACATTTTGCAAATAATCTTTTCCATCTTCAGAGGCAATAAAATTTTAAAAACCATCGAAGAAACAAACATTTAAAAATTTTTAAAACAAACGAATACCCCACGTTTTTGTTTTACACCGTGTGGAGGTGTATTCGAAATATATTTTGGTTTAAGAAGACAAGTAGGGAAACAAAAAGATAAATTTTTAGCTCTGTAAACGGTGAAAAATAAAAATTTCAAATTAAAAAGCTGAAAATAATAAGTCAATAAGATTAAAATAAACGTTTGACCAATCTTTTATTGAGTCTAAGTTATTATTTATGGTATTTGTTATAAATTTTTAATTACTTTATCTAACATATTTGGAAGCCAATTTATAACAATATCTGAAAATATTTAAATAACAAATATGTAGTACACAATAACATAGTAGTCTTACCTTCGATAATGTTGATAACATATACAATTTATACTTAATTTGTCACTTCAAAATTATTTTTAGTTTTGTATTAGCATCATAATACTGCTTTTGTTTTGTCAAATTGTTCGTAAAAATTCGTATATCTCTACAAAACTGCACCAATATTAATTCCGAAAGGATTATGAGAACAGTTGTTCATCAGTTACATGACAGTCCTTTGAGAAGACATCGCGCTGTTAAGAAAACCCTTCAGAGTTCGTAAAATGTTTTATTAGATTAACTGTTTCGATTATGTAAAGGACTAGTGCAAGAAATATGCTACCCGTGCTATGTGTAATGGACATTATCAGAAAAAGGAGATGCCAAACGGAAAACAGAAAAATATCAAAACCAGTTGGCATCATTTGAAGGCAGAAGGTTATCATAACCGTGGTAGATATAGAATAAAAAAAAGGAGGTCAAATGTCTAGGCCTAACCCTGGACAACAAACTTTTCTGGAAAATTTACGAGAAGCAAGTAATAAATAAGGCTACAAAAGGAACATTGTAAGTAAAAGATGAGGATGTTATCAAAATACATTACGATTGATGTTTACAGTAAAAGTGAAACCAATTATCACTTACGGGGCTGTAACCTGGAGTAACAGAACTAGTTTAGCTTTAATGCGAGCACATATCTCAAAAGTACAAAGACTAGCCTGTGTTTGCATTACCAGTGCAATGAGAACCTATACTACGGTGCCGCAAAGGAGGTCATCTTATATCTCACCCCTCTACATTCAGTGAAAGAGAACATGGCGAGAGATTATCATCATGTCCGATATCCAAGCAGCTATCAAAGCGCTGAGCTCTAACGTACTTAGCTCAAAAATCGTCTCAGAAGGAAACACCCTTTTGGGGGACCGAAGCAGTTCTGATGTATCAGCAGTAAAATAATATAGGGGAGAGTTTAAAAAATAATTGAGCAGTAGAAGAACCGATAACTAAAACAATCTGTTGGGGCTAAGACAGACTAAGATACTTCTGGGTGAAAAGAACAAAAAAATACCGTAAGCCAGTATCTGCTTGAGCAAGAACAGGCAACAAGGATAAGAGGAACAGAAATGCAGATTGTGTGATGAGAAGGACAAAACTGCATTTACATTCTTACTGAATGTGTGGCACTCCAGAATCCTTAGGAGGACACCAAATATAAAAAGGCTATCTGCCCAACTTAAAGCCACTCCAAACCCTACACTTTCTTAAAAAGATAGGACTGAAAAGATCGTAATAGGCATCGAGACATCTCCTTGTTGCATTAGCAAAAGAAGGGGACACAATAAATCTTTTAGGTCGCAGTGATAATAGCCCATTCCTAATATTACATAACATGACCAAAAAGAAAAAGTAAACCAACGCCAAGAAATAGCTGACCTTGCATTTGAAGAATTTATTGGTACATATGGAGGTACCGGCAAAGCACCAACCGGACAAAAACAAGATCTACTCGCACACCCAGAAAATTCCTCGCTCCGGAAGAAATTTGGTCGGTTACCAGAACTTCAAGATCAGATACCAGCGCCTGGAAAAGACTTAAAACTTTTCTATTGGGTAACAAAGAACACTTTCGTATTGGAGTTCCATTTACACCAAAGATTGGATGATCATTCGAAACATGGTGGTAGTAATATTCTAAATCCAAATACTATTCCGCAGCCATTTACCCAATTAAATAAATAAAATGTTTTTATAAATGAACGTTACCCTATGTAGGAGAATTTTACACCCTATTAAAAGGAATCTGAAAGTAAACAAACATAATTATAATTTAAAAAATAAACTAATTAACTTTTTCTACGAACAAATTTTGTGTTAACCTAAAAATTAAAAATCGTTACGTTACTGATAAACATTCCCCTAACCCATCAAATTTACAATGTGGCCATTGATGGCGGAAGGAGAGCTGGGGGTCTTGGGTCTTGGCCTCCTCCATGGTGAGTCTTGGTCCCCTCCATGGTGAGGCTTGGTCCCCTCCATGGTGAGGCTTGGCCCCCTCCATGACAAGGCTTAACTCCCCTCCACGGTACTAAGGTAGATTCGATCAGAGCATCAGATTTTAAGTTTACTCTAGCAAAGTAAACCGTTCAGCAAAAAGAAAAATATGGTTTTTAATTTTTCCAAATATAAATTATCGTTCATGCCTGTTACCACTTTTACACTGCCGAACCGAGCCGGATAGTGATGGGCGATATTTTACAAACTGATACTTTGTCACTGATATTAAGTAGGTAATAAAATCGTTACCAAACTGTGACTGTACAAAAAAATTAAATAGGTACCTTAGCCACGAGATACAAAACGAAATAATTTGTATATCATCAGATATAATTTTAAACAGAGAACTAAATGAAATTAGTGTGGATTCTATTCCTTAATAGTTGAAGAACCTCTTTGCTACAAAAGTGAACAGTTATCTGTTGTAGTCCGATACGCCAAAGGCTTGGAAATAGAAGAGTGGTTTTTATGATTTATTGATTATTCTTGGTGTCGAAATGCTGTTGGTCTAGAAAATTTAATCATGGATATTCTACAAACCTTGAAACTTGAATCTCCGATTGTTGCTCAATCGTATGATGGTACTAGGTTTACAAGCAAATATAAAACATCTTACCCTCAAACAATTTACTCGCACTGAATAGCACACAACCTTAACTTAATAGTAGTAGACACGTGTAAATCTGTGCCGCCCAATTTTTTATTGCGATTGAGGCTTTGTATTGCCTCTACTTAAAACCTGGTGC